TGGCATGGGATGCTAGGGTAGAGGGAATCTTACAGCTGAAAAGGGCTGAGTGAGTCAAAAGCTGAAGAATTCCCCAAAAGCTAGAGCATCCCCTGCTATCGGGGCATTGCCAACGTCCTCTTTTGCTTTGTTCATTTCCTTGGTCTACACAGTCATCAACACCGTCATCACTATACCACACCCCTGCAGTACAATTCCTATAGTGAGTTATTTTCTACTCATTGAGGACCAAAAGGAAGTATGGCCTGAGAGACAGGGTTTGATACATATATTGTGCAACTTGCCAGCTCTATACACCAAGGGGAGGAGGCTTGGAGTCCAAGCAGCAAGTCCAGGATGAGGTATGACAGAATAGTAGAGTACCAAAGACATTGCCCCATGGTTCCAAAATTTCCCTGTAGAAGAAAAATACTCTTCAGCCTCATGATTGCATGGGACCAGTCACTGCTCATCTCCTCAACTCAGTATCTTCCTCTGTTAGTCACATTTAAATGACAACCTGTCTTCATCCATATGGTCTCCCTCGATCCCACTGCCTGCCTAGGTCATGGGATCCTCTCCCATGTCAGGCTCAGGTTTTGGAAGTTGTGATTTGAAGATGGTGAAGAAGATGCTGCAACTGGATGGAGTTTAAGGTTCCTGACAAGTCACTCAGGGAGAAAGGACCGGGAGCTAATGCTCAGGTCCCTCATAAACCTATCCTGTCCCTGGCTTTCACCCTCCCTGGCTCTGCCCAGCTCATATCAGCAGACTAAAAGTGTCTTTAATATTCTCTGTCAGAACAGCCCTACAAAAGCATCTGACCCTCCGGCCCTGCACGAAGACTCTGAGAAAGGTAGCAGTCCCTCTAAGCAGGCTTGGGTTCCCGTGATTAATTTCAAATATGGGTCCTGTGAAGTCAGAACAGGCAAATGTACCAAATGGCGCAGACAGGACCTCTGGACCAGATCATGAATCTTTTTTGTTTTGTTTTGTTTTGTTTTTGAGGAAAGATTTTCCTGTGTAGCCCTGGCTACTACTGTAGACTATTAGACTACGATGGCCTCAAACTTACAGAAATCCATCTGCCTCTGCTTCCTGAGTGCTGGGATTAAAAGCATGTGCCACCCTCATCAGGGCAGCACAATGGAACCAACCCTATTAGCAGAGGTATGGGGGAGCCAGCCCCAAAGTTTCTAGCATGGGAGAACTGTCCCCATTTCTCCTTTGTTTTGTGGCAGCATGGGTGGGGGACAGATGTCCTCCTCCCCCCTCCCCTCCCCAGCCCATCAATGCCTGAGGAAGCTGGAGAGCCTGGCACTGTGAACATAAGAAAGGGAGAGCTGGTCAGCTGTCTCTGTGGGTTTCTGGAGCCTGGTCTTGTCCGTCCCCATGTTCTTATCACTCCTTCCCCTCTCTGTGTCTGGATTCCAGTTCGGCTCAGGGTTCAGCTGTGGGTATCTGCTTCTGTTTCCATCAGCTACCAGATGAGGGCTCAGCTGGGAAACCAGCATTGGACTGACTCAGACCCCCTGAACATGGGTCTCAGTTAGAAGGCCTGGGCAGTCTAAGGGACCTCTGACAGACAATGGAACCAGGATGTAACCCTGGTGCACGAAAGGACTCTGGGAGCACATCCCCCATGGAGGGATACTCCCTTAACCTAGAGGCAGGAGGGAGGGCCTAGACCCTACTCCAAATGACTTGACAGATTTTGTTGATCCCTCCTGGAAGGCATCACCCTCCCTGCTGGGGGGGGGGATGGGAGGGAGGGAGGGAGGGAGGGAGAGGGAAGGAGGCAGAGGGAAATGGGATCAATATGTAAAGTAATAAAAATAAATAATAAATAAATAAACAGAAAGAAAGGGAGAGCTGTCCCTGCGCCCTGCCAGCTGCAGCACTCAGGAGCGCAGGTCTTGCACCTTGCCTGGGCACAGTAGAGTCAACGCTGTCCCTACTAGTGTCTGTCATGTGGCAGTGTGGGAGCAGCAGAGATGTCCCCCTTATCCCTTGCCCCTCACTATCTGCAACAGACATGAGTTCTGACCCTCCCCCTTGCCAGCTGCAGCACTCCAGGAAGCAAGTCCTGCCCCCTGCCTAAGCAGCACAGCAGAGCTACCTGGTGGATGAAGGTGAGGGTGATCCAGCCCCCAATGTTGTGAACAAGGGAGAACTGTCCTTATTACTCATCTGACATGTGGCAGCATGGGTGGAGGAGATGACCTTCTCCCCATCCCCCACCCATCAACACCCGAGACAGGTGGAGAAGCTGGCCCTGGGCTCATAAGAGCAGGAGGGCTGCCCCTGCCTCTCACCAGCTGCAGCATTCAGGAGAGTGGCCCCTGCACCTCACCTGGGCAACACCATCGAGCTGGCCCCGCTGGTGTAAGGATGGGAGAGAGGACCCTGAGGGTGTGAAAGCAGGAGAGCTGGCCCCACCCCCTCCCTCATTGCTACAAGAGCTGAATTAGCTGGGGCAATGCTGGAGAGCTCACCCTGGTGGTGAGGACAGGGGAGGGTTGGTATACTGACCAACCCTGAAGCCGCCCAGGAACAGAACCAGGGTTATGACCAGAGTCCTTGATTTCCACGACTCAGGGCAACAACAGATAACCAGGAGGAGTCCCAGTGAGGGCCCAGCAGAGGTAGTGTAGTGAAACCAGGCCAAGGACTCTTTGCAATGAACACTTGCAAGTAAAGATGAATGGACAAAGGGGTTTACTGCATGACTCGCTGTGTCACACTGCAGCTTCCATAATAAGATTTTTAATTTCCCCCTTTTTCTCTTAAATATTTTTTATTGGGGTGGGTGCAGAGGTGGAGAGCAGATATGAAGGGATGAGGGGAAAGATGGAGGATCAAGATACATGGTGTAAAAGACACACAGAATAAGAAGAAAATTTTAAAATAGCATGTGCCACCACCACTTCCTGGCAATAGCAGGCTCCTATTGTTTTGTGGGGGAGGGGAGGGATTGGGGGTGTTGAGACAGGGTTTCTCTGTGTAACAGTCCTGGCTGTCCTAGAATTCACTTTGTAGACCAGGCTGTCTTTGAACTCACAGAAATCCTTCTGCCTCTGCCTCCTGAGTACTGGGATTAAAAGTGTACCACCAAGTCTAGCCAGATCATCAGATCATTATCTGGTGATAATAAATCAGATAATAAATAAATGAAAATAAATCTCCTTAGGTCTCACTGCTGGGAACTGATTATTGCTCACCAAACCCAGGTGAAACTGAGTCCCTAAACTGTCTTCAGATTTCAGATCAAACATAGTTGATTGAAGATCAGATTCTTCTGCTTGTTTCCCTGAAATCAAGATACTGGGAGCCTAATAGGCAAAAGAAGGCTGCTTGGTGAGCAAACCTTGTTCCATAGTAGAGTCTGGTGTCTCCCTGTTTCCAGTTCTCTCTGTGTATTTTCCTTGGGCGCTGAAGAAAAAGCTGGGTACCCAGAACACACTAGGGAGAAGCTCATTTGAATGAACACATTGTCAAATTCCTGCAGCCCCAGGCTGCCCCTCCTGACTGCATCCCTATGCTAGACACTGTGCTAGACTTGGCTCTACTAGGGTTCACAGACTCTCTGGGGGACCGGAGAATAAGTTGGGCTTCCACTGAGGACTCTAATGACGACTGTACCATAACCCAAGGGGCTGTGTGCACCTTTCATATGACCTGGTTGTTCATCCGGTCCAAGCAGGAAGGCAGCCCTGGGCAGGCACTCTGCTGCTCTCTGAGTTAACAGTGGAGTAATGCTTGGAGTTATCAAACTCTCCAGCATCTTAGAGAAACAAGAATTTTCCAGGTTTTTATTTGATTGTTTGTTTGTCTTGGTTTTTTATCTTGGGGGTCCAGCTCCCAAATAAATACATGGAGGCTTATTTTTACTTATGAATGCCTGTCCTTAGCTTGACTTGTTTCTAAACAGCTTTTCTGACTTAAATTATCCTGCCTCTCTTTAACTATGTTTTGCCTCTGGGCTTTCCACCTTTCTTCTTTACTTCAAGCCAGCTGTGTGGCTGGCCCCTGATGTCCTCCTCTCTCTCTCTCTCTCTCTCTCTCTCCTCCCTCTTCCCTCTGTGTTCTTCCCTAAAGCCTAGATTTCTCCTCCTATTTATTCTCTCTGCCTCACAGCCCTGACTATCTGTCTCTCCTGCTAGCTATTGGCAATGCAACAGCATAAATGAATGTCACATATTTAAACTAATATTCCACAACATTTGCCAAAACACTTTTCAGGCAAAGAATCTCTCTACATCTTCCAAGCTGAACTGCGATCATGAACATGATATCCCTCACTCGTCTCCTTTGCAGGATGCAACTTAATCCAGGCTCATTTTTACTGACCACCAAGCACTGATATGAGGCTGATTAGGGTACCTAGCTCCCTAACATTACTGAACTCCATAAACATGCCTCCAGGGTTCCTCTATCCTATGACCAGCCTACACAGATGCCTGCATACTGTGTTTCCCGTGCACCATGCAAGGAAGAGTAAATGTCTCTCCAGACATCCCTGTCAACACAGTGATAGACAACTCCAGGACTGGAGCACAGAACTCTCAAGCCAGACCTGGTGGACTATTGGCAGAGCATCACACATGGTTTCACACTCCAACAGGGAAGCTTCCTCAGCTTAAACACAAGGAGGCACGAGGCATGATACATTAGTGGGTATGCACCTACATGTCCTTCTTTGTTCCAGACATCCTAACCAAAAATGTTCAGCTAACCCAGGAAAACCCAGTATTTTAATATTGACCCCATCTGCACAATAGTTCAGAGAAAAATAATGCCTGTTTCCACAATGACACACTTGCCGATGTGTCATGGTTTGCCACCCCTTGAACTTCCAGGGATTAGAAATTATTTCTTCGGGGTAACAACAGGCTCTTCCCCTAAGAGTTCCCATCAATCTTCTCCCCCTCCCTGCGCCTTTGACTTGGTTGTGAAATCAGTTACCCCAAGGGAAAATTTCTCAGCTCTGCACTTCTGCTTTTGAAGCTATAAAACAGTGAGGGAGAACTAGTGGACAGCAAACTTGTGGTGGCTCGAGGCTAAACAAGCTGATCGAGAATCCTCTCCAGCCAGGCTTCCTGTGCAAGTAAGATTTACCTCTCACAATTAAGTCCTCAGAGAAAGGCTCTCCCTCCCTCCCTCTTTCTCCCTCTTTCTCCCTCCCTCTCTCTCTCTCTCTCTCTCTCTCTGTCTGTCTCATCCTCTCTCTCATTCTCTCTCTCTCTCTGTACTTTTTTATTCTTAAAAAAATTAGCTGTAAGGCTATATGGCTTATGACATACTCTGGAAATGAATGCTGTTCATATAGCAGCTGACATCTGAGAGTTGTCTATTCGAAAAGTTTCTGTCTGGGGTTTAGCCCAATTCTTGTTTTCTTCTAGACCAGTGGTCCTCAATCTTCCTAATGCTGTGACCTTTCAATACAGTTCTTCATGTTGTGGTGACCCCAACCACAAAATTATTTCCATTGCTACTTCACAACTGTTATTTTGCTACTGGTATGAGTTACGATGTAAATATCTATGCTTTCCCATGGTCTTAGGTGACCCCTGGGAAAGGTTGAGAACCACTGTTTTAGACCCATACAATAGCTCCTCAATTCATTCATTCATTCATTCATTCATTCCTCAGAGATAAGTGTTTATGTGCCCATCCTGAGCTAGAGCTGAGAGAAATTCAAATGAAGGTAGCCAGCAGGAAGCTAACACTGTGCATGACCACTCATTTCTCTTTCCACACAGGTGTCTGAAGCAGCTATGGCAACTGTTCCTGAACTCAACAGTGAAATGATAGCTTTCCACAGGTCAGTGGGGAGCTGAAGAAGGGTCATGTATTCAAGGCTCTGCTTTTGGGAATGAAGAGCTATGTATGCTCAGAGGTCTGACTGTCCCCAGCTCACCTCCTTGGGTGGCTATCAGAATTCAAATCAATCTGCATTAATGGCTGATTTGTCTTTAGTTTGTCTACCAAATCCAGCCTTAAGATGAAGGGCAGTACAGGAGCCCTGTTTGCAAAGTCTGGCTCAGAAGAAGGGGCTAAAGCTCAGCTTTTAGCTATCTCTGCTAGCTGAAAACTTAAGTGTCGGAATCCAACAGAGAGCACCAATAATACCCACCTACCTGGCCAAAAATCTGCTTCTAGATTCTTGCTTTCACAACACAATGGAACTTGCCAGAAATCTTCAGAAAGCTTTGAAGGTCATTCTATGCACAGCTTTATTAACAGTGAAGATTTGTATGCACAGTATTGCTCTCTATTGACAAGGAGACATAGATTAACCAACAACTGTTTTCGTTACAGTGATGAAAATGACCTGTTCTTTGAGGTTGATGGGTCCCAAAAGATGAAGGTGAGACTTGGGTCTTAGCTCCCAACCTGTGGTGGGTCTCACACCAAGCAGGGTGAGGGATACTGGACTTCCTTGCTCCAAGTATATTTTGTGATGCATAAATTTGCCTCTTTCACTGAAACAGATTCAGGCAACCCACACACTGTCCTAGCTTCCACACAACTACCTTTAGGCTGTAGTCACTCACCAAGACTTGCTGGTAGTGATCATGGTGTTTTATGCTAGAAAAACAGTCAAGTCTTCAATACACATTCAGTCCTCCCTTCAGAAGGATAAGGCCTGCTCTGATCTCTTACGTCGAACTCCATGTAAACCAGAGAGGGTGACCTTTAGGATTGGCATATCTTTCTTCTCTACTGTAGAATAGTTTCTTATGTTCCTAAGGAAGAGATTAAGACAATAAGAAGTAGTAAATAAAGAAATTAACCTGGATTTAAAAAAAACTAACTTGTGACCTTAGACAAGTTACTGTGCCCTTTTGGCTCTCATCTCAGAAACACAGGGTCTGAGCCAGAAGCTTCCCAAGACGTTGACATTCTGCAACTTTCAATTCTGAGCCGTCTTCAGCACTGGCCGAGTCCATCCTAGCATGTGGACATTGCTCAGACTCACTCTCATGAAAAGCCATGTCCATGTCCCAGCTATCCCTTCCTCTTTCCTTGGTGATAACTCTCTAATGTGGCATGGCATCCGCCCAGCCAGATCACTGCCTGGGTCAGGGGGCAGCTGCTTTTCTCAGACTCTTTTCTCAAGTTTATGACCTCCTCCCACAGCTGCAAACTCCAGTCCTCAGTCTTAAATGAGTGTCTTTTAAAGACCATGATAGCTGGTTACCTGCGCCCTGGGTGGAGCCCCAACCTTCTCAGCCAGGCTGGGGCCCCACTGCTTGCTCCAGAGCCTGGCTCTCACTGGGAGCCTCTGTTCTGCACAGGGACGTCTCTCCCAGTCAGCTTTTTCTTCATGTCATTCAAAGTATCCACCACTGTCCTTCAAGCTTTGAAACTATTCCCATGCCTCCAGGCAACTTCGGTTAGGCCTCAAGGTAGTGTTTCTCTGAAGAGCAGGACAGTGGTAGCATGTTTCACAAGCGGAAATGCTGCTTATAGTAGTGTTTGCCAAAAGTCTTTGAGGAAAGGGGTGTGTGGGGACAACTGGGAGTTTGCTGAGTGGCCTCAGGTAAACATAAGACAGCAGGAACATGTTGTCATGAGAAACTAAATGTGCAGTGTTAGAGCAGTGAGGACCTCCAAAAGATGAAAGGTTTAAGTGGCTGTAGTTATGTGGTGAGGAGACTTCTGCACAAGAAAGATAAGGAAGAAAAGGTGTTTCGTATAGAGAATATCAGGAAGCCTGTGTCTTCTGCCATGTGCCTCTGGTTAAACCATGTAAGACTTGGTCTCCAGAGACACAGGGATTGTGGTTAAGAACTTGGTTATCTCCCAGGCCCCTGTAGTTCTCTGGTTAATGTAGGAGTTCCTTGGTCTGATGACCTAATGTGCTCTCTGCCTGGTTTCTCCACAGTGCTGCTTCCAAAGCCATGACCTGAGCTATCCCGATGAGAGCATTCAGCTTCAAATCTCCAAGCAGTACCTCAACAAGAGCTTTAGGCAGGTGGCGTCGGTCATCGTGGCAGTGGAGAAGCTGTGGGGCATACCCGTCCCTTGCCCGTGGACCTTCCAGGATGAGGATCTGAGAACCTTCTTCTCCTTCATCTTTGAAGAAGGTACTTGATGAGAACTAAGGGCAGACAGTAGACCTTCTCTCTGCTCCTTCTCTGTCCATCTCTTAGCAGTCAACTTCCCTTCTTAAGTGGAAGGCCCTTAAAGGTAGACTTTTCAACCCTTAGAAGAAAGCAAGGAAACCTCCAAAATGAATGTTAGATTCTGAGCTCATTGACTTGAAAGGTTTTAATGATGCTCACATTTGCAACTGGACCATTCATTCTCCAAGTACTTTGGCTTACACTGGAGCTTGAAGTCTCAACAATGTCCGTGAGGAGCTAGTCTCATTACCAGCAACATTTTCTGTAATAGCACTGCTGCTAATCCATAGCAAATGGTCATAACACTGAAGGATGTCTCATAGTGCCAGATCACCCCACTTCCAATTTCTTTCCACACCACAAAAAAAGTAGATTAGAACCTTGACTCTGAATGCTTAGATGTCACTAAATAAACCAAATTCTGCTGCTTCACATCACTGGGCTCACTCTTCTGGTTGTCTACCTAAACAACATCTGATCATTGACCTTCAGAGCCCATCTTCTGTGACTCCTGGGATGATCAGCTGATCGTGGCAGATGTTCCCATTCGACAGCTGCACTGCAGGCTCCGAGATGAACAACAGAAATGCTTCGTGCTGTCTGATCCCTGTGAGCTGAAAGCTCTCCACCTCAATGGACAGAATATAAACCAACAAGGTAACTAGGCACACCTTTGTTTCCTTCCTGGAGGCTTACTAGATCTCTGTGTTTTAAGATGGAACATTACAAGTGTGTGTGTGTGTGTGTGTGTGTGTGTGTGTGTGTGTGTGTGTGTGGTAAATTATAACCATTTTCCAGTCCAGTCACACAGTGGTATGGGGGTAGCACGTTGCCAATGCTCCATTAGTGTAGAGTCATTTGGTGGGCATGCCATAACTGCCTGTGGGTTTTTTCCCTCATTTTGAGGCTGAAATGTGGTTGGTAGAGAACTGATATGTCCATTTTTGTTCCCAATCTGTCCCTTGCCCTGACATCTTTCCCATCCAATACCACACAGTTCCTCCAGGGAGATTTTCTGACCATCAGGAACTTACATCTCTCGCTGATAATAACAAATGTTTCAAGTGTGGCGAGGGTATTTTTAGATGTAGGGATGGACCTGGCACCACGCCACTGTGGCCAAGAGGGCAATAGCTGACAGCAGTGGCATGTGCTTCTCCATGGCTTCTCATCTCAGAAGCTTTGGAAGGAGCTGTCTGCTCTTTATGACTGAGCCATGGCAGTGGCCAGGGGCCGCTGATTGAGATTGCTGTGACTAAGATCAAAATGGGTGTCTCTTTTTTGAAGCCACTCTCCCCAGCTAAGCCAGTTGTTCCCACTTTGGGTTCCATGTTCCTTGAAAAGTGCTGGCCCCTGAGCCCTTCTAGGAACATAGCTTTACCTGGTTTCATAGTGACCAAATTGTACTTCTCACGTTAATGGGCACACAGCCTGCTAGTAACATAAGCGCTCTATTCCTTAGATCTTAAATGAGATCCCTTTCAATCTTCATTACTGCTACTAAGAGGTCCCAAGGGGATCCTGGCTCAGCCCGCTGTCCTTGCTACTGTCTATGAGAATCCCTGCTAGCCCATTCTGTGCCCAAAGAAGTCCTTCTGATTCTCCCACAGAGAACTATATGGGCTTTGCTGGTCAAGTCTGGAGTCTGAGTCCTCCCAACTCTGCTGTATTCTTGACCCAGTTTGCTCTCCTTTCTGCAGTGGTATTCTCCATGAGCTTTGTACAGGGAGAAACAAGCAACAACAAGATACCTGTGGCCTTGGGCCTCAAGGGAAAGAATCTGTACCTGTCCTGTGTGATGAAAGGTGACACACCCACCCTGCAGCTGGAGGTGAGTGATGACAGAGAGGCCATCCCCTTCTCTTAAGACTCTCAGCAATTCCATACTTCCCAGACATACATCCTCCTGCCCCACCATCCAGAAAATGCCAGAGGTCTTCTTGACAATGTACATAAATATAGGGTAAAATTAGCGTAACTTTTAAATGCATGTAAACCTCACTCTCTCCGTGGGAGAAACTGAGCCATTTTGCTATTCTTATCATGCCCTACCATGGTTATGGCTACCAATGTATCATACAGTGTTAAGGAGGAAAGGATTGCACATGGCTACAGTTTATTCCTCATTTGACGGAGGACAGTTTGGAGAACTACCCAATTGAAGCGATTCACCATCAGTCCCTAGGTAGTTGATGCTTACCACTTGTAACATTCCTACCAAAATTTTCATTCCCAAGCTGATGCCATTCAGGCTTTAGGGGGGGGATAAAAAAAAAATACCTGGAAACTAGGTATTCTTAGAGTTATAATTTTCATTTTTAAAAATATTTCTACCCATATGATCTTCCTCTTAGGATTCAGAGAAAACAAAGGGCTCCTTCAGTGGTTAGATAGGGATCCAGCAGTAAAGAATGTGGCCCCCTAGCCCCACAACCTGTTTACCAATCTCCTCTCCAGCAGCCTGTGAACATAACTACTGTGGTATCTTTATCCTCTCTCTCTCTTTTTCTCTCTCTCTCTCTGTCTCTCTCTCTCTATTTCTCTCTCTCTCTCTCTCTCTCTCTCTCTCTCTCTCTCTCTCTCTCTCTCTCACACAACTCTTCTTTCTATCTTTCTGCAGAGTGTGGATCCCAGACAATACCCAAAGAAGAAGATGGAAAAGAGGTTTGTCTTCAATAAGATAGAAGTCAAAACCAAGGTGGAGTTTGAGTCTGCACAGTTCCCCAACTGGTACATCAGCACCTCTCAAGCAGAGCATAAGCCCGTTTTCCTGGGCAACAACAGCGGCCAGGATTTAGTTGACTTCACCATGGAATTCGTTTCTTCCTAGGAAGCCCATGTATGCTGGGTGAAGCCTCAATCCCTAGTACTGACACATGAAGTATAGGCTGGACAATTTCTAATGCCTTCCCCAGGCCAGCGCTGTTTCCAGGGGAATCATTAGTCTTCTGCCAAGCCAGGGTTCCCTCACCTCTCCTGCATTTTCAGAGCCACCTTGACAGAAACTATGGCACATTCTGTTCAAAGAAATTCTGTCTTTTCTTTCTGGCCTCTGATGCACAACCACTTACCTATTTATTTATGTATTTATTGATTGATTGATCTATTTAACTTAATTCAAGGGGGACATGAGGCATGCCTACAAAAGATTCTAGTTTTCAATGTTTATGAAATAAATTGAATTTGGATCCAATGCATGGCCTGAACTGAGTTCTTTCTTTGAAGATGAGAATACATAGACTCATAGTATGCAGATGAGAATATTTTTGAATGAAACATTAGCACATTGTTTTGATGAGTATGAAATACATTTCAATAAAATAACAACTACAACAACACCAAAAATACCTTTCAGCCTGATTACTATGTTCTGTGTTCTCTTGGAGTTTACACAGAAAGAGAAAAATAAATTGGTCCATGAGAATTCTCACTGGAGGCCAAGAAGCCCATGCCCCACAGCTGAGGCCAACAAAGTACCCTAGACTCATCCTTGACCACAAATATAAACCTTCTCACCCTCTCAGCTTCTTTTTTTCTTTTGCTCTTCCTTCTTTCCTCCTTCTTTTCTTCCTTTCTTTCTTCTCTTCCTTTCTTTCTAAAGTCTATTCAAGGACAGGGAAGATGGCTCAACCAGTAAAGTAATTTACCCTGCACATATGAGGGTGTGAAAAGATCTCCAACATCCATATAAAAACCTGGCATGGTGGCACATGCCTGTAATCCCAACACTGGAGATATGGAAACATCCCAGGATCCCTGGGACTTCTAGCCAGTTAGTCTGGTGGGTCTCCACATTCAGTGAGGGGCTCTGTCTCAGAACTTAAGGTGGAAAGCAATTGAGGAAGATAACTGATTTTGATCTTTAGTCTCCACCCTCACACATGAGCACAAACACACAAAGGGATTCTCATTGCGCATACTTCATCAGACAATTAAGATCAGCTAAAACTTTAAAGGGAGTAATGGTTAGTGGTAACAGCTGACTTGTCTAGTCATGTAGTCCACAGACATCTATTAAACAAATGCTTGAGCTCCTAGTATAGGCATAAATAAGCTAAGTATCCCTCCTTACATAGGAAATTGGTGGGTAGAAGAATGGAAGGGTGGATAGACAGACAGATGTAAAACTTAAGGCAAGATAGAGAGAAGATAAAGTATAAAAGCAGTAGTTAGGAAGGAGATACACGGTCTGGCAGGATAGATGACAAGTCAAGGAGGGTGACCTTTGCATCCTATCTAAAGGAACAAGGGAAAGTTATAAAAATGAGAAAAAGGCACAAGTGAACAAAGGCATTTGGATATGAGAATGAATGATGCACAAATGAAATCAAGAATAACCAAAAGCAAAAACAGAAAAAGAAAAGTGTACTTCATCCCAAATAAAGGGATAATTTCCTGAACATACAAAGAACTCCTTCAAAACATTAGAGGAAGAATATAATGAATATTCAACAAAACAATAAAGTCAGAGGGTTATTACCAGGCTAGACTGATCACAAAAAAAGGGGGGGAAATGCCATCATATCCTGGGCAGAGCAAGGGTTACTCAATGTTACTCATTAGATGAAAGTCAACTTTAAAGAACCTTGAGATACTCATGTGTTCCCATCTGGGTGACAAAAATCAAAGGTTCCACACGCCCTGTTGGCAAAACTGTAGGGAAACCCCAGTGTTAAATATTATACAGGAAAGTATGACATCTATGGGAGAGAATGTGATGATGACTGACAATCACAAATGTACTTCGCTTTGTCCCAGCAATCTTACTGAGGATACGGCCCATGAATGCATATGACCTATATGAAATGATATGGAATTAGAGTTGTCCACTTGACAGAGATCACTTGCAGTAATTGCAACTAACTCAGTATCAATCAAAGACTGGTTAAAGACTCTGAGGCAGAACTGAAGAATGGGGAAAGAACTGGCTTTCTACACCAATATGGAACTCCCTCTAAAACATGCAGAAAAAGCCAGGCCTTAAGTGGCAACATAACAGAAAGCATAGGAAAAAAAAAACACCTATTGTGCTCATATTTGAGTTGAAATTTTTGGAGGATATTTAAAAATCCAATAAAATCACTGAGAAGATCCAGGAAATAAAACCGAGCAGGCATAGGAATAAAACCCTCTCTGTATTCTTTCTATATGGTTTAGTCTTTTTAATCCTGTGAATGTATTGACCTCTCAGATATAAGAGGACAAAAGAATTTAAATGACCAATCACAGGAAAGCAAACCCTGAAATGTCAGTGCTTAGAAGCGTGCTTCCAACACCGTTTCCCTTATCTCCAGCTCCTGAAGCGAAGGCAGAGAAAGAAGAGCAATTCTCTCATCTCCTAGTTTCAAAACATCAGTGCAAAGAATAGGACCATTGTTAGCAGCAGGTACTCAAGTGCCACCTATTCCATAACAGAGAGCTGTCATGAGTAGCATAGAGGTGGCCCCCATAGCCTTAGGACAACCCCCATTCCTTGGTTCAGTGACACAATCCTTTTGCTCTTTTTAGGTCCAGTGGTCACCTGTAATGACATTTTCCCTTAGGAGTAGCCAGATTCCAAATAATCTATATGTGTGGCTCTTCGGTGAAAAAAAAAAACAAAAAAACAAAAAAACTGTGCCTAGTTTTGTTAAATGACCAGAGGCTCAGAATTTCACTCACTATTTGCTGTTCCTTCAAGGACACTCTTAGTTGCATTGTCTATAAATACTTAACAAAAGCAACTGGAGGCAAGATGCAGACACATCATTTCTAGAAAAGGGCAAGTCACACAAGGGCAGAGCAGGAGCATTTACACAGAATGGAAGGCCCCACTCATCTGCAGCTTTAGCCATGTACTTCTAAAGGCTGAGCTGGAAGGGTATCGACCAGGCTCAATGGTGGCTGCTGGGAGAGAGGCAGAGCAAGGAGGGCTGTCAAGGGGGACTTTAACTTTATAACACTGGACTCTTTGACAGGGAAAATATACTTTATGTAACACACACACACACACACACACACACGTTTAATCCTCTGCATTAAAATGTGCAAATGGCTTCAGTTCCAATTCCTGGATCAGAGTCAATGACTAAACTGATCCTCCAAAAGATATTCTATTTCTGATGTGAAGCCAAGTTCTGTCTATATCTCTGTACTAAGTGTCCTTGACCTGGAAGAAAGAAATGACTTCCTGCTACATTAAAATGCTCAGATGATCTGAGGAGGGACGGGTCAGAATGCTCCTTGTACTCTACTCAATACACAAAATGTAGGCCAACAGGAAGTCCATCTGTTTGTGACTTTGGCAGGAAACACATCACCCCAAAACAGCTCCCACCAGCTTCCAAGGAGAGCCCACATGCTGGAGAGTGGGAACCAGGTACTTCTAACTTTAACCTGATGTCTGAGAGTCAGTAACCGCACTCCTTGGGGGCAGGCAATAGCTGATTTTATAGAACTGAGCAGCAGTGAGCAAGTACTTGGCTGGGGAAGGAAAAGAATCTAGTGATATCTGGGAGTGTATGAAGTCTAAGAGACTGGGAAGTGGGTAGCTGCTAACACCTAAGCCAGAGGTGGAGGGGTAAGTCAGAGTGACTTCTACACAGGCCTCTCACTTTTTTCTACCATGATCAGCAGGGCTTTGGGACTGACATAATTAGAACAACAGGAAATGAAGAAATGATAGACACATGTACAGAAAAGCTGGGATCAGGTGAGTCAAATATTCTTACTGAGACACACTGGCTGCCCTGAAACTCAGTGAGTTTATTGTATACAGTTTAAGGAGGGGGCAGGCCAGCTAACCTCAGTAGGGGGTCTTTGTAGGGGAGCAGTCTCGGGAATCAGTCATCTGCAAGGAGGAAGCTGTGATTGATAACTTTCTGTATACTGTCAGTATCCCTACTCTGAC